TTATAAACTTTTATGTGGCTCATAATGTGCTTGAAGTTCTGCACTCTTATATTTTGTTAAGGATATGATGAATTGCATTATGCAACTGTTCATTTCAGGTTTTGGGCCGTAAATGTTGCATCAAAAATTAGAGAAAAAAACATTCAAAAAGAGTATGCATTTTGAAGAGAATTTAGTGATGATTCACATTTGACCTAGAAGGTCAGGCATTTTTGAAGGTCAGGTGTTATATTTGACTTTGTATGAGCAATTATGTGGTATCGTGGTCCATCGTGTCTGCAGTAATGAGTCGAAGGCTGTAGTGTCTGCGTTATTATGCATTTCTGTTTCATTAAATACTGGATTGGACGTACATGTTAGGGACTTCACTGCATAGAAAAACGTGTTTATTACTGATTTAGTGTGTACTGAATTCATTATTATACTTCACCAAATTTCCACTAAATTTTTGGCGGATAATTTTTCTGAAGTTTCGTACTGTTAGTTTTTTAAAAAGTTGTTAACAAGTTTTTCGCATTTTTTTGCAATTTGTTTTTTGTCTCATTAAATATTAAATTGCATTCGCATGCTGGTGACCTTATTGCGTGAAAAAACGTGTCCGTGTGTACTAACTTAACTTAGCTATTCAATATGGCTTGACTGCTAAATAAGATCAGTTCATGTCTATTATTTAAGCAGTTAGGTCAAGTGATTGAATGTTCTATAAGTTCGTGAAAGACTATGATTGTGAACTGACAACAGTATGAGTTGTGATGATTTAGTGTTAGTCCCGCTGTTTAGACTGAAATCAGATGGGAATTATGGACACTTGAATGTAAGGAGGTATGGAATGCATTTGTTTAAACAAGACTAAGGATGTGATAAATTGCACTACGCATCTATCGATTTCAGGTTTTGCGCTGTAAATTTTTCATCTGTAATTACAGAAAAAAACATTCGGAAAGAGTGCACATTTTGAAGAGAATTTAGTGATGGTCACATTTGACCGGGAAGGTCAAGTGTTTTGGAAGATCAGGTGTTGTATTTGACTTCGCGTAAGCAGTTGTGTGATGTGTTGCCTATCGTGTCTGCTGCAGTCAGTCAGGAGGTGATGTGTTGTGCGTTATTATGCATTTTCGTTTCATTGAGTGTTGAATTGCACTTGCACTTGCATGTTGCGGACATTACTGCGTAAAGAACATGTCCATCTGTACTAAGCTGTTTAATATGATGACTACTCAAGAAGACCTGTTCGTGTGTATTACGTAAATAACAAGTTTAAGGTGATTGCGTATGTAATCTGATATTACATGGGTGCGTAAAGAAACATCATTGCGTATGTAATCTGATATTACGTAAAGAAGTATTATTGTGTACAGCAGTGTGAGGTGTGATAATTTAGTATAAGTTGACTGTTATGGTTACTTTCATGTATTTAGGACTTTTTGTAATATAATCATATTGAGAAATGGTGATTATATGCACTACGTAGTGTATATATATATTTAATATCATATGGAGATTAATATCCTTTTGCTCACTGATTCTGTCGATGGATCGTATTTTCGTTGCACTCCTCCGCGCTCACTTCTGCTTTGTTGATTTCCGCTGCTTCGTCCTCGTGAAGTCCATAGCGATTAAATGCTTTCAAGTGCCTTCTTAAAAATTATCGATTGAATATATGCCTCGACATGATGAGATATACTGATCTTCGTGTAGCGTTTATAATGCACATACTTCTAGTGTGCGCACATAATTTTTCTCAGCTTTAATTATATTTATATTTCGGAGGTGGCAGTATTTATCTTGTGGTGTAATATTTCAAATCGTAGCCGCATTGACGAGTTTGACATCGAGGCTAGCTCATTTCTGCGCATCTTGTATAGCTTTGCATGGCGAGTTTACTTTTTTATTTTGCTATACAGGAGTGCTTTCTAAGCTGCCAATACGTTTTTACGGTTAGATTTTCTTCGAGGCTGTATTTAGTCTGATGATATGGCACAATAACTGTTAAGTACATGTTGTGAGTCTTTTCCTGCTTCAAAATTGCCACCCTACTGGTAGATATGGGCGCACTTTCTACAAGTTCGTTATGAAGTTGTAGAAGCATAAGCTAACTTCTTGTTCAACGCAGTGAAGCCCAACGTTTTAGCTCATTTCTTGGCAAGTACAGTGTCTTTAGACATGCAAGTTGAGTGTGAATTCCGTATCTATTTAGTAACTGCTTGATATCATAAGTTTCTGCTCGCAGTCTAACTTAGTTTTCTCGAATAGGTGCACTATCCTATCCTCCATTATACCAAGGTATTTATACCCTTGAGCTCCTTCCAACGCATTTCTTAGTATTAGTGGCTGACTTTGGATTCATCTTTAACTCTACTATTTAAGAAATCTCTAGACTTCTTCTGCCATAGTTTCCGTGATATACAAGAAGCTCGAGATCATCCACAAATAATAAGTGATGCTTCTACCCAAAGGAGCTGTTGACAACTTCATCTGTTTGCTCATTGTTTTCTATTATGATTCTATCCGTGCATCCTCCATTTTTTCTTCTCAGACTCCTGATATCTGACTGTAAGACAACACAGCATTCTTCTTTTAGGTTCCGAACTCTTTAAACATTGTAACTTTCATTGTTTTTGTTGTTAATTTTCACTTTATAGGCAACATAGTTTTATCCTCTATCAAGTTTCACAGTTGCGATGTTCATGACTAAAAAGCAAATATTGTGTATGTGTGCGGCATGTTTAGAAACAGTGGCCAAGAAATCCAGTAGCAGAAGTTTTTTATCTTCATTAACTATAAGTTTACATAATTATTCCTCTGGAATGGTTATATTTGATCATCCTCAAATAATTGAATTGAGTTATCACAATTCCTGTTTGCGGTTAATTATGAGTTATCCGTTTGTTAAATACTATTTCTCCATTACTTAATATTATGTGTGAGTAGATATGCGGGACAGCTGTGCTAAAAGTGACGAAAAATCGTCAATGAACAATCCCCTTCGTATGGCTGAGAAGTTTCGTGCCATGAAGGAAAGCATAGTGGCTGAGAGGACCGAAATTAAAGCTATGGAAATACTTCAGGAACTTTTCTCTTATCACACAACTAGTGTCGACTGGTTAGGTTTTGTTTTTTTTTATATATCCTGACACTTTTTAATTACTTCATCTTGAAATAATTAATAAATAAGAAGTTATTAATGAGTAGTTTGCATTTTTTAGTTTTGGAATTAGTTTTTTTTGCTTTGGATAATATGACAGTATCATTCATTAATCATGAAATAACGCATTGCGAAATTATTGGTCAATAGGTTTCACATTCTCGATATGTTCATTTTGTTCTGGATTTTTAGAAACATTTTTTTAAGGAATGTCTTTCCGGAATTCAAGGGTTTGTTGATTTGTATTTTGGACACGGTTGGTATTGTTTCACTAACAGAGAAGCACCAAATCTTGATATTAAATGCAGTAAACAAGAGCGATGCAAAAGTTATTGGAGTCCTTGCTGATTATTACATACAACATATCGATGAAGTTCATGATATGCTGGCTAAATCTCATGTTGCTATAACAATTGCATTTTCGCGGCGGATCATTGATTTCGATTGTGCAGGAACCGTTGCTATTGTGTGTTCACTTTAATTCTTCTGCAATCATAAAATAGAGTTTCAAGTTTATTTTTTCAAAACTCGTCGAAATTCTTGACACTATGAGAACAAAATCTTGATTTTTTTTTAAAATTTCAAATTCAGGTTGTCTTAGTTCTCGCCTTTTTTAGAGTTTCATGACGTAAAAATCTTAAAGATTTTTTGCTATGTTGCAATGTGGCTTAGAAGGTTGTAATTACGATAAAAGGTGGCAATCTATTGTGATAACTCTTTACTCTCTGCTGTAGTTGATTTTTTCCTAGTTATCAGCAAGATTTATTTTTTGATCTAGCTATCGAAATTCATGAAATAAAATGAGAAGTAAAGGATTTTGTTCTGCGTCATGAAGTGATTAAACTTAGATGAATATTTTAGCTGCTAAGACGCTTTGCTGGATCGAAACTAGTGCAAGCAGAATTGTTGAATAATTTAGATTCGAACCCAGCAGAAATTCGATTCCGAATACATCAGGTTATTTCTTCTGGAAGAATGCCTGACAAAACAACCTGCATAATACTTCAAATATTTTAAAATCCATTACTCTAGTTTTTTAAATAAAGCACAATATAGTTTTGGTTTCCTATGTTATTGGCTTCTTTGCATTAGCAGCATATTTATTAGCGACTTTTTTCATTGTTCGATTTAGTAGTTTTAAATTTAAAATCATTTTTTTAAACGATTTTGTAGGTAAATGTTGGCATTATTAGGATGAAATCTTCGAAAAACTATGGCTTGAACTCCGATTTTTTGCTTCATTTTTTTTGACACGTGTTCAGATTGTTGTTTTTGTTTTTTTGATTTTTACACTTAACGTTCAGAATTTTTTAATGTGTATTATAAATGAAATTTTAAATTGAGTTTTGGGTTGCTTTTTAGGTTACAACTTTACTGATGAAAGAAGGAGACAATTTACACAATGTCGAAGGACTGGTCGCAAAACTGGCTGATGAACTTGGATCTTCCGATGTTCTAACGCAAATAAATGCCGTAGAAATGTTTGCCGACGGTGCTTCCAAGTATATATTTCTTCAATACAATTTTAATCTATTATGTTGATAAGCAATCCAAGCTTTTAAACAATTAACTTTTAGCAAAAAATCAACAGCTCATTACTTGTTGTCGACGGGTATTGTTGATCATTTGCATAGCTTGTTCGTTGCATGCATGGATCATCCCGACTCTGGTTTCCTTTATCCTGGTTTGCAAATTTTCTGTTTGTATTTATTTTTGAAGCATGTAATTTTCAGTTAGGATAAATTTTGCATGTCATTGATATTAACAGCAAGGTCTGAAAAAGCAATAGAATTGGTAAATAATGTCATATTTCTAATCATTTTTAATATGCTTTTGTACTAGAAATCCATTTTTTTTGAGCGCATAATCTATTAATGTAATTGTAGCCTTAGTCAAATTCTTTGGACACCTTTTGGTTACAAATGCGGAGTGTATGCCTCAGTTTCCAAAGTTTCTGGATTCACTTTTTGACTTGGTTTACCATTTTGATCGACTAGATGCATCACTTCGTCTTTTGTCGTTTGATACCCTTGCCGCTATTGGATCAACCGACAGTGCTAAAAAATTTCTCAACAGTCATCATTCTTGTAAATTTCCATTTATCTTATCGCTTCTAAAATTTTGTCTTTACGAGCATTAATTTGTACGCCCAGTTGTAGCTCAGCATGACATGCAGAGAGCAATGACTGCATTTGGAGTTGCTATTGCAAGTGGACCTCTTGATTTACGAGTACGACATATGGATGCTCTGTCGATGATGTTTGCCGTAAAAGATCAAGACACGGACGAAAACAAAACGCAAGGGTCAGCTACTAAGCGTCGTGTAAGTCATATTTCAAATTAAATATTGTGTTCACTCATAATTTTCAGCATTTTTGTGAATCTTGTGTACATTGTAAAGCAATTTTCGCTTTTATGTTGAGTGACATTAAAAACAGATATTTAATTTCTCTGCCAATAGAAATGGTGAAGTTTAAGATTTTTTGTATAAAGCATTTTGTTACTAAGATATATGAAATAAATCTTTGATCTGCTTTCTTTTTAGTCTTTTTATTTCAAAAAAAGGTTTTTAATTTGAAGGATACGGAAGTGGAACAGATAACACATAAGTGGTTTAACTGGCTTGGCGAGCCTTTTCCAATAATTATAACTTCTTACATGTCTAAGCCTTTTTATGATACTCGAATATCAGCATTGCGTTTGCTTTCCATATTTTTCGATTATCCATGGGCAATTCGCATATTTTCTCGTACTACTGGGTTTGTATTCCTAATGGATTTAATCATTTTCAATTTTATTTTTCGTTGAAGTAAAACTTTTAGCTTACAAATTGTAGAGCAGAAGATAATTTGTTTTTCGTTTATTTATATAGTTTTCGATCTTATTAAGGAAACGCTTCAATTGCTTAAATTAAAATTTCACTGATAAAAAAATCCATTTAAAAAAATAGATTTCTTCTTTATTGTCACACGAAAGCTGATTGAATTGAGCTTCTCTGTATAATGTTCTCACATCTTGCAATAGTTTTTCTGGTATTTATTTAAAATCATGTCTGAGATACCGACAAGATAAATTTTTCATAGTAGTATCTTCGTGCTGAAATTCAAACTTCGTTATTTGCTTGATAGTAGTTTATTTTGTAGCTTCATGAAATGCTTGTTGAATCGAAGTATAGAAACAAATGCCGATGGAAAACAATGTAGATTCGATGTGATTTGTAAGATTATCACCGGTGGTAGTACAATAATTTCACCGGAAGACATGCTGAGACTGAAACTATACCGTCGTGAAGGAGCATTTTATGTTGAAAGGCAGCCTGAAGTTGATATAGAAAACGATTAATTTTGAAGCATTGTGTTTCATTTATGTCATAATTTCTGTCTCTCTGGTATATGTCGAGCATTGAAGATTTGGCGATTTGCTGTTGAGGATTGTTTTGTGAATAATCAAGTTGGTATTTATTGAACTTCAGGTATTCGTTTCGGAGATTTCAATGCAATGATTTAAAAATAGCGGTCAATTCATGCTAGTAAGTATGAACTGCTTTGGGGAAAATTAAAAATGATATTTTCTTGAAAAGAAAAAAGTCTGTAAATATGTTTGTCTAAAAATCTAGGATAAAGTTTCCATTGATTTAAAATTTTTATCAGTATAAATCACTGTAAAATTTTGTTTTGTATTATAAACTTTCCAGTAATACTCAAGGCATTGTATCTAAGATAGTATTTAACCTTTTTTAGCCATTTATGGTGTTCTCAGGTTGTTATAAAAAGTGTTGAATTTCATCTCCGGAATGTATGTGATCTTAGTTTTTTGGATTCATATGCTGTTATTTATTCCAAAGCATTGTACCTATTTATAGTTGACTCTCTGCAAGTCATCAAATTTTTTCCTTTCGTAGTAATTAAGTAAAAGTGTTTCTATTTCATATGTTCGGATGCAGTAAGACTGTTTTCAAGAAAAGCTATCATATTTAACGGAATTCATCTTCGTTCTTCATTACAAATTAACGTTCTGGCTACATTATTGTTTCTGGTTGTGACTTGTAATTGTGCGACTCAGTAGTCAAATATGGATATAAATATGATATGCGTAAAAGAGTTTGTTCAAATGCAACTCATTGTTATAGAGTGAAAGCGAGGATGTATATTTTATTATGTTGTCGGGTGATGTAGTTTTCCTTGAATTAGTTCAGTTAATGAGATAGTGAGCAGGAGGTCACATCAATCTCGCAAGTTTTTAAGAGTGGCCAGATGTAAGAAAGTCATGATTTATGTTTATTTTTTATAAAAACATTTTATTTGTTGGAAGTAAAGCAGAAGAAAATTGAAGGCAAGCTCGGTTGCTATTGTTCGGTAGTTTTTCAGGTGCAATGTGTTGTCAGCGTAACTACTAGACAACAATTTGCTACCTATTTCTGCGCTGATGTAGATAATGTTTGAGCAAATAGCAAAACCTATCAAAGCGGCAAAAGTGATTTGGAAGAGCATTGCAGTAAAAATAGTAGTAGTAGTAGTGAAAATGTTGGTACGTCTCTTGGTATTTTAGTGACTAGTGGTTAGAGCTAACAGCAGAGTACCGATAGGATTTGCTGAGACGGTAACGTTATTTATTTCCACTCTGAACTTGAACTGTAGTAGAAGTGCTAGTGA